TCAGGTTCAGTCTGGATTCTTCCAGATGCCACTGGCTGTACTTTCCCTCACATGTACAATAGACCTTGTTGTCAACCATTCCTTGGGGCAGCCACGTCCTCATTTTTCATTCAGATCTCTGTGATCTGTGAGCTAGAGGCTAGCCTGGTCTCCATAGGGAGCTCTGTGACAGCCAGGGCTACAAAGTGAGACCCTGTCTCAAAGATAATGTACAGAAAAAAAGTGGTTTCTTTGAGACAGGATCTCAAGCTACCCAACTCAGGCTGTCCTTGAACTCTGACAGGCATGCTTCACGACACCTGGTATCTTGACCTTCACTGAGTACATGTGGGGGCCATTAGCATCAGCCCACCCAGGTGTAGACTTTTATCAATTTCCAGACATTACTCTCAAGCAATTATTTCCTAACTCCCCGACTCTTCCCTTATCAGTGGTACAAAACTCCTTTAGAAAAGGAAACCCGAATCCTGAGAAGAAAAGATCAATGCTTCAATACTTCCCAAGCTCCCTAGCAAGGATGAATCACATCAGTGCTGTACTGTAGAAAATTGGGACCTCAGCTCCAGAGCATGCACAGAGGACCTGAGAGAGAGTCCGGGCCTCCAGTCTGGGAGGGGTTCAGGGAGTTGCTCTAAGGACTCCCGTTCTCTGGCTCGGATGCCTGTCAGCCCAGGCTGTAGCCTTGACCAGCCCTCGGGGGCGCCCCTAAATTCTGCCCTGCTGCACCCCCAACTCACCCCACGCCCCACTCCGAGGAGCCCACCAGTTTTCCGCAAGCTTCTCAGGGACTAGGAGGCAGAGAGGACCGTGTATCGTTGCAACTGGAGGGTGTTTCTACAGGCAGCATGCCCGGTGAGTACCAAGCTCGCACTTGGTCGGTATCCTCCAGGAAAGGGCGGTGTAAGGGGGCATGCCTTCGATACTTCTCTCAGAGGAGCAGGCTTCCAGCCCCACTTGGAAAGCACTAAATACTAGCGGGGGTGGGGGAGTGGGAGGGGGGCAGGGCTACCGTAGCGCCCCGCCTCTCTCAGCTCTATGGAGCTGGGAAATGGGAAAGCATCAACCACAGGAGGCATCTGTGGTGTGCCCTCAGATGGGGTGTGGCCTCAATACTAGAGGCAATCCTCCTGACTTAACCTCTTGGGGACTGGAATTCTAGACATGATCCACCATAGCTGGTTAAACATCTCCCCTTAACAGAGGATATCACATTTTGTTTATAGAGATGATGTAACATTTTAAAGTCATGTAAGTTGAGCTTCATGATCAAATCTATGATGATCTTTCCCAGTTACTGTCTGCACGTGATTTACATTTGTCTCCTGGACACATGTGTTAGCCTCTCTGTCATTCAATGTCTTTCCAGATCAGGCATTTTCAGTGCCTCCTTAAACACCCCGAGTTCCTCATATTGTGGTGATCCCCGACCATAAAATTATTTTCATTGCTACTTCATAACTGTAATTTTGGTACTGTTTTGAATTGTAATGTAAAAATTTTGGAACTAGAGGTTCATAAAGGGGTCAAGGCCCAAAGGTTCAGAACTGCTTCTTGAACTCCAGCAAAGTACTGTGGCCTTGAGCTTCACCCACTACCTTATTCCAGCATAGACTACGGTTAGTGTGAGTTCTTTCTGTTGTCTTTCCTCCCAGAATCTGCATGCAGTGGGTAACATTAATATGTTGAAATTGGTCTTGTTATTGCCACTGAAATATAAATGTAAGTTAAATTGACTTTTGCCAAACAAGAACAATATCAAATAAGGTACTTTAGGAAATACCTTGTGCTATGCACAGTGTTAGAAGTAAGAATAGCTATGTCAAAGTAATGAGCAAATCTATCACCTAAAATTGGTATCTAAACCCTTTGCTGAATTCAAAGGATATTTTCTGGTCCTTTTCTGACCTGTTTCCATGGTGTCGTTGAACCACTACTCTTTAGACACAATCTCACCATGTAGCCCATGCTGACCTGAAATTTGCACAAAAATCCATATTAGAAATTTAAAGGGTTTTATCTAAATCTCATATTCCTCCCAGGGACTAGAAGTGTAGCATGCATGAGGCCCTGGGTTCAATCCTCAGCACCCACATAAACTTGGTACCTTCTACATGCCTGTAATCTCCTACCTCAGTCTCCCAAACCCTGATAAACAGGTGTGAGGCATCAGACCCAGGGAACTGTAACTACTGCTGTTCTGGCATATGTAACTTGTTCCATACACGATTCACCTGGCTGTTAAGTTGTAGCGAGGTCACACATGGACATTTCTTCCTCTGTAATTATTCATCCAGCAAGTCCCTAATGACCACCAACCGGGAAAACCCATTCAGTCTCATTTTCTTCTGCTCATGGTGTCTCCCAGCTTGTATGCTTTATTCAGTTAATCAATTCATTCATTTGGTTCCATTATGGGCACTGAAATCACAGGTTCTGTAGATTAAGAAATGGACATCAGCACCTAGTGAAAATTGTAGCTTTGTTAATCTTTGGATCTCCAGCTTTTAAAGGACCAGCCTTACAAAACCTCCTCATTGACTCTTTCAGGGTCTGCTTCATTCACAGCTAAGCCTCTTACTGCACTGGCATGTAAATGACATGGGGACAGTATCCTTACCAACATCCTTTTATCTTTGTTTCATTTTTAATTAGCTTACAAAGACTGGATGGTCAAAAGGCTTCTTCCGACATCTTTAGTTTTTGTTAACTCACCCTTGCACAGTTTACTCTCCCCGCCCCACTCTCCCCTACCAGCCTGCTGCCAGCCCCACTTATGCCTTTAACCTGGAGTGTTCTCCCCCATTCTTTCATGCAACCTGTGTTTACTATCCCTTCTGATTATATTTTTTACTTTGGCTGCAAGATGTAGGTTTTCTTATAGCTTTTTCATATGCCCTTCATTCTAGTTAAGTCTTTTCCAGTGCGTCACTTTCCCATCCAGGTTTGAACCTTCCCACTCCAAGCATCCCCACCTCTACCTTGACTTTTTACCTATATTTTACTAAATCCACCTGCCCTCATGAATCCATCCCCAATGGCCTGTCTCTAATTACTGGCTTCCACATGTACTCCAAAAACACACAAAAGAAAAATTTCAAAGCAAGGATACCTGTGTGAGAGACAGTACATTTGTCTTAATGAGGCAGGGTCTCGTGTACTCCTGGCTGGCCTTTTACTCACTGTGTAGCAAGGATGACCTTCAATTACAGGCAGGCAGCACCATGCCCTATTTGTGTGAGTGTTGAGGATGGAGCCCAGGACCAATTGACCTACATCCCTAGACTAGGGAAGAAACATACAATAGGAAGAAAAAAATTATGTGAACACTAAGTTTATCTTGTGTATTTTTTGAGGCTGATCTTTATTATGATGCCCAGGATGATCTTAAAGCCCCGAGTTCAAGTGTTACACCTGCCTGGGCCTCCTGAGTAAATGACACTGTGGGTATGCACCTCTACATGAAATGTGTTTCTTGAGCAGATTCTTGGCATGGCTCCTCTGCACATCCATCTCCGTGAGCATTCATGGAAAATGCTTCTGTGTATAGAAAAACGCGGAAGAATGGGGCCCCTGCTGAAAAGGTGGCAACAACTTCCCACTGACCTATGAACCCAATCTAGACCCTTCATTTAACCTGAAACTGCCTCCAGGAGCTGACGATGTTTGACCCTTGGTGCTGTGCTGTTCCATGCACACCTCAGCTTCATTTTTGTTTTGTGGTTTTTTTTATATTTAGCATAGAACTGAGCTTCTCTGACATTTTTTATATGTTATGTTTTCATTTATGCTCTCACTACCTTTCCCACTCCTTCAAATAGACCTTCCCTCTCTCCACCCCAAACAGATTGACTTTCTGCGTTCATCTCATATACACCATTATCCTCTTTGCCTCCCTCCTCCCATTAGGTCCCCTCCTTCTGTCTCATAGTCACCTTTCTAGATGTGCACGTGTGTGTGTGTGTGTGTGTGTGTGTGTGTGTGTGTGTGTGAGAGAGAGAGAGAGAGAGAGAGAGAGAGAGAGAGAGAGAGAGAGAGAGAGAGAGAGAGAGGGGGGGGGCAACCCCTAGATGGCACACTTTATCACATCCTTCCACTGTCTGCCTCACTGTGGTCACTTAATCCTTTACATGACAGACAATATATAATTTACTGTCTCTTGAAACTATGAGAGAAAAGGGAGTTCCTAAAGATTTTAGTTCCCAGTTTCAACTAGTCATGACAGGCTAAGGCTAGAGTTATCTTCCTGATACCTGAGTCAATTCACAATATAATGGTAAACAGATCTAATAATACACCTACTTTATAACTAAGCAGTCTGATGCTAAGATGGAAAAAAAAAATCACAGTCTTCATCTTAACTCCCAGCACAATCTCTTCATACCACATTTAATCCACGATACAATTTCAGAAATGAACAAACAGATGCCAAGTTCTCCTTTCACAACCTACTTCCTGTTACACCCACATCATGAGCCCCTCAGAGACGACCAGGAGTCCAAGTTCATATGCAAAAGCAAAGAACCTTTAATGCAAGATCCAGCTTGGGCTCTTCATCCATTCCGACACAGTGGTTGGATCAGGGAGAGCATCAAGCTCAGCTGAGGCAGAGTTTTTAAGGAGTAAAGGATAGGGGTTAGGGGAATTCTGGATTCAGATGGGGGTTGAACTCCTGATTGGGCAGGAGTGAGGTAACAGAAGTTTTGTCAAACAGTGGTTGGTACTGGCTGCAAGGAAATTGGCAATCTATATACAAAGTAAGTAAGCTATCTTTAATATTCTAGAGCACTTAGTACTTGTTTATCTCAATTCTGATTGGTCTCCTGCAGGGTACATTTGTAGCTTTTCCTGGTTATTGTAATGGTGAGACCTAGTTCTAATATTGTTAGTTTGCAGCCTGTCATGGCTGCCCTAATGTTAAGTTAGGCCTCTTCGCTTCTCTATAAAGAAAGTAACATTCAGAGGTTCCCTTGCCTAGCAGCACTATTTCAGCAGCTTTCAAAGCAGCAGCCAAGGTCTGGAGGAGTTGCATGTGTTTACAAGGGAAGCTGTCAGGAGGTGTTTAGGAAGGCATTTAGGAATCAGAATACAGATGCTTTAGCATCAAAGGAGCATTGGAAGGAAATTAGCAGCTCTAGTGTTTGTCTGGCTTTTCAGCTTGCTACCCCAAGATTGAACTACCAGCTCCTCCCCAGCCTCCCCTCTACTTGGCAAAATAAAACACTTTTTAGATTGAAGGTATTGATTTGTTATAACATGGTGTCTTTTTTCCCTTATTTAGTTTCTACTCGTAATAATAATCTTAACTGTGCAATTCAGCTCAACTTCAGGGGAATGAGGAAATTACAAACCCAAAGAAGAGCAGCAGGACTCAAGGACTATAAGATATCAATAGCAGAAGGATGGGTGCCACAGATGGATGGGTGCCCTCGGAGCTGCAGATGGGAGGGTCTGGTGTTTAAGGTGTATGTCAGTCGGAACTGTCACAGCTGTCCCATAGTCGGCAGTGGTGAGCATCTTGCTGAACTTGCTCTTCTTGGACCCAAGGTGCTCATGGCTTCAACAATGCTCGTGTCTTCTTTAGCATTCCCAAGGACCATGTGTTTGCTACGAAACCACTGAGTCTCTGCAGTGCAGATGAAAACTGGAAATTGTTTGTCTTGGTTCATCGTTTGCCATGGACAAAATACCAGGACCTGAACTTTCAGGGTGATGTTCTCATCCTTAAATTTCACCCCATACATAAATGGACTTCATATGAGTGACTATGGCACATAATGTCACCACCCAGACATGAATCCTGGAATAATTCAGTGAAAGGAGAAACACTCGTAACCAAATACTTCCTTTCAAATGCTCAGAGGAGCAAAGTTTTCTTCTACCTTGGGAACTTTGCAAATAGCTAGAGGAAGACTCAGCTTAAGGGTGGCTGTCTATACCGAGGTTGAAGACCACTGTGGACTTGACCATAGATCTAGTGGCCACAGGGCACAGGGCAATCTGCAAATGATCTTTCTAAAAAAGTTAACAGAGAGGCACCGTTCACCAAAGGATGGAAACTGATGCAAACTCACAGCCAAATACTAGAAGGAGTTCAGTGAATCCTAGAGAACAGGAGGAGAAAGGATTGTAGGAGCCAGAGGAGTCAAGGACACCACAAGAAGACTAACAGAATCAACTAACCTGTATCCGATTAGTTCTTGGTTTCCCAGGCTATCCCACGTGCATTCAATCCTCAAGTCCCCGCCCATCAAGTTTCTTGCTCACAAGATAACAGGTTTTAAAAGGAACTGCACCATTAGAGCACTCACATGATGCAGAGTGCTGGGTGGCTTCTGTTTTAAATCCCCGTGGCCAATCAGCAACGCACAGGCCTTTGAAAGATTCCCAGTGCCTTGTTTGAATTCCAGGGGGAGCAGAGCAAGTTTAGGAGCATGAAGGCAGCAGCCAAAGCTGGAAAGCTGGCTCGAGTACCAGCTGACCTGCGGAAAGCCAGGGTCCAGGGAGATGCAGGTCCCATTGCCCCAGTGGCTGCCCCACTGTTGAAAAAGATTCCAGAGGTCTTAGTGGACAAAGGCAGCAGGCGCCTTTATGTAAGGGGACGCTTTCTGAGTAAAGCAGGCTTTGTCAAATGCTTTGAGATCTCAGACCAAAACACGAAGGAGGTGTTCGCAGCCAAGATGGTGCCTAAGTCTTTGCTCACACCCTCCCAGAAGGAGAAGCTGTCCAAAGAGATTTCCATTCACCGCAGCCTCTCACATCAACACGTTGTAGGCTTCCATAGCGTTTTTGAAGACAGTGAATTTGTGTTTATGGTTTTGGAGCTTTGTTGGGAGAGGGTGAGTGTTTCTGCTGTGGTACTGGGGTGCCCACACCGTGAATTTGCTGGCAAAGGGCTACTGATGCCTTGGAGTAGCCTTAGAGGAGTGCTTGGGTTTCAAGCAATTATGAAAAGGCTTCTAGTGAGGGTGCTAAGTGGGGTTGAGAAAAGACTCTCGGTAAGAGCATGCATTAACAGGAGAGGGTCCTGTGAATGATAATGACCAGTGTATGGGCAGAATCATCAGGAGTCCGCCAAGACCTCCCTTTAATCCCGAGAGCTTAGTCCTGGTCCCATCCAGCTGGCCACCCTTTTCGGTGGGCTTCAGTAACTTCTTCCTTCTTCCTCAGTCCCTCCTGGAGCTGCACAAGAGGAGGAAAGCCCTGACCCAGCTGGAGGTGCGCTACTACCTAAGGCAGATAATCCTGGGCTGTCAGTACCTGCACCACAATCAGGTCATTCACAGGAACCTTAGGTTGAGCAACGTCTTCCTGAAGGAGGATCTGGAGGTGAAAATAGGTGAGGTGCTGGACCTGCAGGTGCGTGGTGCCAGTACAAGAGGAGGCAAGGAGAGGGAATCTGGGAGAATGGGAGCCAGAGAAATGGAGGGCCGGTGGGACATGGAGGTGCTGCCCTCCAGAATACCCTCTAGTCTAGAAATGGAGGGTGAGGGGCCCACACGCCAGTGTCTTGCCTTCAGATGCATTTGCTCTTTTTGTTTTTGTGTTTGCTGTTGCTGTCTTGTGTACCTCAATACAGTAGTTCTGAAAATAGTTTACTTGGGGGTGCCTCCCCCAATTACTACCCTATCTCATAGCACTGAGCCAGGTGCTCCTCAGTCAGTTTCCTTTTTAAACTGGAGGTCTAGACGTATGCCATGGAGCAAGGCTGGCAGCATTCCCTCAGCTGTCTCTTTACTGAGCTGAAAAGTCCTGTTCCCTTGAGACTCTCTGATTTGCCTCAGTCCCTATTCCCATGTCACCTTTCTTACCTTGTCCATCAGCAGTCACGAAGAGTATTTACTTGGTTCCCTAGTGCATCTAATTCTGTTGTCATGTGGTTTAAATTTCATTTATTTATGTGAGGGGTGGGGATAGAAGGTAACTTTCAGGAGTCAGTTGTCTCCTTGCACTGTGTGGGTCCCAGGGTCAACTCAAGCCATCTGTCTTAGAGGCATGCACCTTTACCTACAGAGCCATTTTGCCACCCTAGCCCTGCTATCTAAAAGAGCAGTGTAAAGGGCAGTGGGAGGCCACCCAGGGCCAGCAAAGTAGAAAGGTTCCCGGAACAGAGACTTTGGAGTCTGATTCTCAATGGTCAGACCTGAGGCAGCTGTCTGCAACCACAGATGACCCAGACCTAGCAGCTGAGCGTCCTCTCTTCTTTCCTCTGTCCCGGGGGTTTCGGGCTGGCAACCAAAGTGGAATATGAAGAGGAACAAATGAAGACCTTTTGTAGCCCCCAGAACTTCGTAGCTCCCGAAGCGGTGAGACTGGGAAGTTTTGAGGAGGATGTATGGTCCATCGGGTGCATCATGTAAGTTGGGAACGGACTCAGGAGCTATGGGTCTCAATGGGGCTTTCTGAGGCACTTCACCCAGTTGACCTTACCCTCTGGATCCTTCTTCTTTATAGAAAGGCTATTTCAGGGAGCAGATTGCCCACATGAAGCCCTATTTCCTTATTAATCTGGTGTAGGATATAGGATTTCCTGTAGCTTGGACTTATGGTCCAGAGAAGGGACAAGAAAGTCTCTACAATTCTTCCTCCAGCTCTTTGCTGTTTACTAAAAGCATGCACAGACCCAAACCATCAACACCTGAAAGCTTGTTAGGACTATGGAATCTTAGTTCTGAACCTGGGTTTAATTGTGTCCTTGGATGACTTTCAAGAAAGCTTTGGAAGCACTGATGAGCACTGATAGGAGAATCAGATCACCAGAAAGGCTGATGGTAGGCAGAAGTCCCATCATGGTGGCCTGTGGTGGATAGCAGTGGCCTCTGTGGTACTTGGAGTCCTCTATTACTGCAGCCCAGAGCTGGGGAATTCCTGACCCCTTAGTATCCGGGTGTTATCAGCTACATTCTTCTGAGGGCTTGTCCTAGCCAAGGTTACCGTGGCACTAGACAGACTTGGAGACCATCCCCATCTTTTCCTAGTCAGTGAATCCAGCACAGCCCCCTTCCCCTAGACAATGACTTATGCATTTGGACTTTCCTGGGAGTTTGAGCAAAATTCTTCCTTGTACCTCCAGGTACACCTTGCTAGTGGGCAAGCCACCTTTTGAGACCTCATTCGAAAAAGAAACCTACCTCCGGATGAAACCAAATGAATACAGTGTTCCCAAGGTGACAGCAACACAATTTTATTTTGTTTCACCCAAAAGCTATTCACTGAGCCCAGCTATATCCTGAGGACAGAGCCTTGCCTCTAGTATAGCCACAGAGAATGTATGTGTGAAGGCTGGCCTTGAACTCGCTGCATGTTGAGTTTGAATGTCAAATTCTCCTGCCTCTACCTCCCAAGTGTTGAGATTATAGGCATGCAGCACCATGCTGGCTTTATGGGGTATACTGGGAACTGAACTGGGTTTTGTGCTTATAGGCAAGCACTCTGCCAACTGAGTCCCATGCCTAGCTTCCTGAATGGATGTAAAGTGCAGGGAGAAAATGGAGAAGAGGCAGACGTGCTTAAGCTTGGGACATGGACCATCTCCACCTAGCTGAGCTGTGTTTAGCAGATGATGGCTTGACTCTTGTGAACCAGGTTTCCCATCTACAAAGTTTAAGTTTCCCCAAGGGCTTCCAGTGACAAAATGACATCTTTTTTTCACAACCAATGGCATACATCCGTTTGAAGGGATAACCCATTTCTGGGGACTAGGTCTACCTGGGACATATGACCACTTTCAAATTGGTGTCCTTGACTTGTATATAGAGTAGCTATTTCACAGAGAATCAGCTCACTGCAGACAGCATGGACTGGCTTGAGCCAGCTGGACTGCTGTAGTATAAGTTCTGGCTTTATCACCTAGGCTGTGTGTATTCTCAGACAGGGGCACTTTCTCAATTCTGAGCCTGCTTCTTCATCTAAAGTGCGGCATAGTAGTGGAGTGAGTAGTCTTCACTTTTGTGAGGCTGAGGCAGGGGAACCTCAAGTTCCAGGATAGCCTGAGCTACATAGGGAGATCCTGACTCAAACTATATAGGGGGAGGGAGTCTTTTAGGAGTTTTTGTGAGGCCCAAATGAATTAAATATACAAGACTGCATTCCTGATACATAAGAAGCCTAGAGTTAATGCTCTGACTGACAGGCCTGTTCTAGGTCTTATCCCATATACCAGGTGTCCCACGTGGTGGGGTCCCAGGTATGGTACTGCTCCCCCATTCTACAGATACGCCTTGGTGGGCCCAGAAAGCCCAGGCTATTTGTCAGAGCTGGAATCATGGGGGCGGAACTGGGATTTAAACACAGGTCTGGGGACCTGGAGGCCCCTCTAGTAGTAAATAACTAAATGTGCTTTGCAAGGGCAAGCTGGGGAAATCGTCCCAAGTTAATGCTGAGTGCCAAGTGGCAGGAAATGATCCTTCTCACAAGCAGGGTCACACTGGTCCTTGCTAAAGCTGGGGTGGAGGACCTGGTGGAGCTTACGGCCACTGAACTATGGTATATTTGAGATAGGAGCAGCCACATGTCAGGTGGGGTCCCTGTCTCATCTCACTTAGGCTCTGCTTCTCCCCTCCAGCACATCAATCCCATTGCTGCCTCCCTCATCCAGAAGATGCTTCAGGAAAACCCACTGCCCGCCCCACCATTGAGGAGTTGCTCAAAGATGAGTTCTTCACTTCTGGCTATATCCCTGCCCGTCTGCCCATCACCTGCCTCACCATCCCACCAAGGTTGTCAGTGGCTCCCAGCAGCCTGGACCCCAGCAGCAGGAAGCCTCTCATGGTCCTCGAGAAAGGTGAAGCTTGGTCTTGGTAGGGTAGACTACAGAGAGCCCATATTTCCAGGATGCATTTCAGGGTGCATGCACCTTACTCTGCCCCCAGAGGTGGGTCCTATCTTTGAGGTCTGGTCCCTGGGTTCTTCTGACCCTTGGGCTTGGCAGGAAGAACAGACTGAATCAACCCATTTGATCTGATAAGGAAAAAAATGGACTGAACACCAAGCCCAGGAAATTATTTTTGATTATGTTTAAAAGTCTCTATCGTCTCCTTTGCATGTTTTTGTTGAATGCTGGAACTTGTCAGGTATAGACATGGAGTATAACACGGCACCCATCCTCATTCTCATTCTCAGCCATGGTTCACTCTGCACCTTTCACCCCTTTGAGTGCTTGTGTTTTGTCTGTCAGGAGAAGGTCTCTCACTGTCACCAGGCTGCTCTGGAGTCAGTCCACCTGCCTAGGGCTCTGGATTACAAGTTTGTCAGCACATCTCACTTTTGAAATGTCACTACAGCCAACTCCAGCAGTCTGCCATTTTACACTTAAAGTACATCTGTGTGTTTGAGGCCCGCCTGGTCTACAGAGCGAGTACCAGGACAGCCAGAGCTGTTAGAGAAACTGTCTGAAAAAGAAAACGAAGGATTAAATAGGTAGAAGAATGAACAGGAAGCATCTGACTCTCTTTTCCCAGTCTGTTTACATTTCTTTTGATGTTTTCATCATCAATCCTCTATGTGTTTCTCTTAACTGATTAAGAGCAAACTTTGTTTATTTTTTAAATTTATTTATTTATAATGAGGACACCAGATCTCATTACAGGTGGCTATGAGCCACCATGTGGTTACTGGGAATTGAACTCAGAACCTCTGGAAGAGCAGTCAGTGCTCTTAACCGCTGAGCCATCTCTCCTGCCCCAAGAGCAAACTTTCTTCTGTTAGTGCTTCTGTGTATACTTCTTGAAAACAGACATGACAGACATCAGCACAACCTTCAGGACTGTGAGCATTAATCCAACCCCATATTGTCTTCACAATTTCTTTTTCTTTTTTGTTTTCCTTCTTTTCTTTCTTTCTCTCTTTCTTTTTCTTTCTTTCTTTCTTTCTTTCTTTCTTTCTTTCTTTCTTTCTTTCTTTCTTTCTTCCTTCCTTCCTTCCTTCTTTCCTTCCTTCCTTCCTTCCTTCCTTCCTTCCTTCCTTCCTTCATTCCTTCCTTTTTTTTTGAGACAAGATCTCACTATGTAGCTCAAGCTGGCCTCCAGCTCACAGAGATCCACCTGTTTCTGCCTTCCAAGTGCTAGGATCAAAGGCGTGAGCCACCTCACCTGGTAGCATTCTTTTTTTTTTTACTCCCTCCCTCCCTCCCTCCCTCCCTCCTTCCCTCCTTCCTTTTATTTATTTATTTATTTATTTATTTATTTATTTATTTATTTATTTATTTATTTATATATTTATTTATTGAAACAGACTATGAAGCCAAGACTGGCCTCAGGTTTGAAATCTCTGGCCTCACTACCCCCTCTCCCCCCAGATGCTGGGCTTATAGGAGTGTGCCACTGTATTTAGAATTACTATTTTTTTCTTGCAGTTTTATTTGACCTTAACATATTTCATTAAGGGTTGTAGTCTTTGAGAAGTAACTTGAAGGACTTTGTTTCTCTGTGTGGCTATACCACCAATTTAATATAAAGTTCTCAGTTTGTCTGTTCAATTAGATTTACATTTTTAGGCAAATGACTTGCGATGATTTAGTTTCGGTTTTGGTGCTTTGAGACAGAGTCTCATGTTGTTCAGGCTAGCCTTGAACTGCCAAATGCTGGGGTTACCAATGTGTGCCTCACCCTGACTCAATGACTTGGATTTTTTGGAATAATTTTAGGGCTATACAAAGTGTTATAAACAAAATAGAGCTGACTTCCTATGTGCCCTTCCCCCAGCTTCCTCCACTATCAGCATCTCTCTACCACAGAGTAATTACCAAAACTAAAACGTTAACCACAAGATAATCCTGTCAACAAACTCCAGTCCTCATGTCAGTCAAACAGATTCCCCATTAACATCACCTTGTTCTGTACCAGGGTGCAAGTCAGTACTGCACATGGCATTTAGAGACCTCAGCTTCTTAGTTTCCTCTAGCCTGTGACAGTCTCTGGGTTTTTCCTTGTGTCTTGTGACCTTGACACTTTCAGAGGGTGCTGATGAGTGTCTTTCCTGTTGGGTTTGTTGCTTCCTCATGATTTAGGGGAGATTCTCCATTCTGAGCAGGAATGTTGCAGAGGGGATGTGCTCTTTTCAGTGTGTCGGGGAGACAAGGCTGTCTCTGCTACAGATACTGTTTTTTCGGTCATTGATAAATATCTTGCAGGAAGTTGTTTGAAAAACTGCTGCCTATCAATTTTGGCACCCACAGGTGGGTCTTGGTGTAGTAATTATTTCTGTAATTATTTTCCCCTTTAAATTTTTGAGACAGTGTCTCATGTGGCCCAGTCTGCTTAGAATTCCCAGTAGCCAAGGATGACCTTGAGCTTCTGTTCCTTCTGCCTCTGTCTCCTGAGTGCTAGGATTACAGGCATGGACCACCATGGCCAGTTTATAAGGAGCTGAGAATGTTAATTCAGGGCTTCACACTAGACAAGCACTCTGTTAATTGAGCTATTGCTGAGCCCCCTTTTCTGTTCCCCTTTCCTGTAGTGCTGGACTTGTGGTCCTATCTTATGGGGAGGTATTAAAATACTGCTCCTTTAGGATTCTTTTTTTCTTAGTAAAGTAGCAATAAATGAAAATGTTTTATAGACATTTTCTAGATTATCCAAAGGTAGAGAATTGTATCATGTGATATGTGATCCTGGAGTAGTCGTCCTCCATTTTCAATAGTTTTATTTGGACAAGTTTGATTTTACATATTCTGCAAACAGTCTCATTTTGTTTTTCCTGTGAATGGGTGTTTTACATGCATATGTGAATGTGTAGCACATGAATGCCTGGTGACCACAGAGGCCAGAAGATGGTCTTGGATCTCCTGGAACTGGAGTTACAGGTGGTTGTGAGCCTCCATGAGAATGCTGGGAACCAAAGCCAGGTTTTTGACAAGAATAGCCAGTGCTCTTAGTGGCTGAGCCATCTCTCCAGCCCCTTTTTGGCTAGTTTTAAAATCAGAGCTTGGATATTTTATTTCACACTTAAGTTCTTAATATACAGAATGGTGGGATTGTTGTTTTTAATTGAAAATTTAGGGAATGTCCAGTTTCAATGGAGAACTGACACATGCTGGTTTGGGGAAGTGAATTGTTCAAGAATAAAGACAGCAACAGTGACCAGCGCAGCCCTGATCACCATAGGCCAACTAATGCTTCAGTGTGGATTTCATTAGACTCACTTATCTGTAAGCACACAAAGCAAAAGGCTTACACTGCGCTTCACCCATTCTTCCACCTTCCTGGATGCACAAGGCACCCTTTGTTCGTTCTTTGCTTGAATTGGTGCCTTCAGGCTGCCTCCCTGAGTGACAGCAACAGCAGGTGTCCTGGAAGGGCAGGCTGTTGGAGCAGAGGCCTGAGCTCCTGAAGCTTTGTGGCCTCTCAGTAAGCACCATATACCTGACACACCAACGCGGTCCTGACTCAGTTCCCACAGCAGTGAGAGCTGATGGGACTGTGGGAAGAGTGCTGGCTGTGGCAGGCAGGCCTGTGCTCCCTCCAGCGGTTTTGTGCCTGGCTAATGGCCATGTCACCTTCTTAGGTGTAGAGAGACCCTTGCCTGACCGTCCCTGGGAAAAGGAGGAACCAGTGGTTTGGGGGACAGGTGAGGCCATCAAGTGCCACCTCAGTGACATGCTGCAGCAGCTGACCAGGGTCAATGCCTCCAAGCCCTCAGAGCGAAGGCTGGTGCAGCAAGGTGAGTCCTGCAGGGGACTTCCCATCTGGAGAAGGCAGGGTATCTCAGTCAGCAAGCAGATCCCCCATTTCCTGGAGATCAACATCCAGATGAGTTAGCCTGACACCCAAGGCCCTCCTGGTGTGCCTTCTGCCTGTTTCTGCCCCATCTCACTCTGTAGGTGACTGATAGGTCACCTCTGCACAGCTGTGTCTGTTGTCTCCTTTCTGCCCAGGGAATTAATCCCTTGGTCCTCAAGAGACTCAGGTCAGCTCCAGCCTCAGGGCTTTTGTGCCCACTGTCACCACCCTGACTCCCACTGCCAGCACTTCCTAACCTGATGAAATTCTCCATAACATTTCTTCCCAACACATTCATGCATCTGCAGTTGGGACTCGTGTGCACTGAGGTGGTTCTAGCGTTGCAGGAATTGTTGGATCTGCTCAGTTTCTTCAGCACTTTAATCTGGGGCACTAGGCTTTCCACCAGCCCTGATGTTAATGACTTTGATTACTCTTCATCCCTCTGGTTGGTATGTGGGTCCTTCTAGAAGCCTAGGGTTTTCTTTTCCTATCCACACCTACCACAGTTCCTGAGACACAATAAAGGGGCCCACTTAACGAATTGGGACTTGACGTCCTGGGCTGCAATTTGGGTGTATAGGTTTGTGCCGTCAGAGCCCTCCACAGGCTTCATAGGGTGCCCCCCCCCAGCTCTGGGGAGGATTATCTGAGAAGACAGAAGAAGGGGCTGGCCTAACCAGTTCTCTGTTTCTATCCCAGAGGAGGCTGAGGATCCTGCATTCATCCCCATCTTCTGGGTCAGCCAGTGGGTAGACCAATCAATGAAGTATGGACTTGGTAGGTGTCTCCAGAATGTATGATGGGCAGGGGATGGTGTTGCCATAGTAGCCTTTGAGTGAACAAGTGAGTGATGTCTGTAATTGTGTGGCTGTGTTACCAAGAATTGTTAGGGCCTAATACATGCAAGCACTCTACTACTGAGCTATTCCCAGCCTTTGTCCACCTCCTCCTGCCTTTCTAAGATAGGCCTCCCCCTGCCCATTAGGGTATCAGCTCTGTGACAACAGTACAGGGGCACTCTTTAATGACTCAACATGCCTCGTAATCTACAATGATGGCGACAGCCTCCAGTACATAGACCATGAGGGTATGGAGTCTTACCCCACCATGAGCTCCCACCCTGACTCCTTGATGAAGAAGGTGGGAACTGGCTACTGTAAGAGGGTGTGGCAGGGTATGGGGGCTGCCTCAGGGTCAGGCTCTCATTCTGGAATCCCTGCCTCAACTCTCCAACCAGATCACTCTCCTCCAGCATTTGCGAAGTTACATGAATGAACACCTGCAGAAGGCGGGGGCCAACAACACGGAGGCAGGGGCCAACACCACACCCCGGGAAGGTGATGAGCTGGCCCATCTGCCCTACCTGAAAAAATGGCTCCGCACAAGCCATGCCATTGTCCTGCACCTCAGCAACGGCGCTATACAGATTAATTTCTTCCAGGTGTGTAGGGGCCTGTACTTGAGGTGGCTGGGTGGGGTGGAAGTGCTGTTCCTTTCACCAGGTGGGGAGCCTTCCTCCCCTTTGCCTCAACCTCAGGCACCAGCTGAGCTTTTCACTCACTCCCTTCTTCCCTCCAAGGACCACACCAAACTTATTCTGTGCCCCATGATGGCAGCTGTGACCTGCATCAAGAACCAGGACTTCCACACATCCTGCTTGAGCCCTCTGGAGGAATATGGCTGCTGCGAGGAACTGGGTAGACAGCTATGCTATGCCCACACCATGCTAGACAGGCTGCTGAGCTCAAAGTCTCCCAACAGCAGACTCCAGGACAACTCCTAGGCCTCCGTCCTTTGGGCTGGTGCCCCTTCACTCTGCAAGCTCTGCCTGGGGCTGCATTGCTGGACTTCTGGGACTGCTGTTCAGTAGCCCTATCCATGCGGCTGGGTGGGGAAGGGGCTGCTGTGTAAGTTATTTTTGTATATGTTTGGATCTGAGTTTATAACCTCTTCCCCTGCCCTCAGTCTACTGTATAACTTGTATAGATATATTTCTATTGAATTTGAGACTGTTCTTTCCTTGGCTTTATATTTATTCAATATATGTGCATATCTTTTCTTCTCCTGTGTTTTTGTGAGTACCCCGAACCCAGTGTATTTCTCTGTTCCAACAGCCTCAGGCTGTTAAACTACTGTCCAATATGTTGATGATCCCTAGACAAGGTTGAGCCACAGCCTTAACTCCTTGGTCCACCTTTGGGGCACCTGGTTGTCTCAGCTCTTTGAAATCTGGCAGGACCTCCCAGCATCCAAAGTTGGTGACTAGTAGGGCAGGAAGAAGCTCTCAGAAGCACAGGTTCTCAGGGCATGGTGAGTGTGTAGCAGCAGCCTCGGGAAGCAGTGTGTGAAATAATGGATGTAGCCTGCAGGGACTTGGCCCACAGCCTGGTGTACTTCAGTTGGGAGCTTCCTATAGTGGTGCTTCTGGGGATGGTCAGGACAAGGACACTGACTCAGTTATGGCAGGCCATCCCTGATCCATGTCCCACCTAGGCTCTAGAACACAATTTTTTCTTCATGACATGGAGTATGTCTTGCACTGATAATCCTCTTTTAGGACTGGAACCTTTTCAGAGATGTAGGTGGAGAAATGGGCTGTAGGGATAATTCACTGGGTCCCTTCTCTCAGGAAGAGGCCCCTCCAAGCCTGCTCATCTATTCCCAGGGGACAATCCAGTCCCTCTTCCCCAAGGCACTCTCCATCAGGGGCTGATCTGCAGCTGAGAGGACATTAGACAATGTCTGGAGGCATTTTGGCTGACTTGCCTTGGGAAGAAAGTACCTCTATCAACCTGTGAGGCCAGGGATGCTGCTAAGCATGCCACAGTATAACATGGCATAGGCTACAGGGAACTACCCACCCTTTCCCTGACAGTTTTCTTTTCTGAATCAGTACCGCCCAGGTTGAGAAACCATGACTTAGAAAAGGATTTTGTTGACATGGGTTCTTACTCCCTAGTTTAGGTCGGCCTTGAATTCTCTACTTCCCACTTCCTGAGGGCCAGGGTTACAAGCATCATGCCGGGTTTAGAAAATGACTTTTTAACCTTCACTATGCTTCACATGATTGTGACTGGATAGGTAGCCTGTAATTGTGGCACTCAGGAAGGTGAGGCGGGAGGATCCTGAGTTCAAGCTACATAGAAAAAAAGGTGCTGGTTCTCATCTGTTCTGACCTAATGAGCTAGGTAGGACACAGTGTCAGTGTTTACCTAAGGTTAAGAATGTGGGGAAGTGAACTAATGTCACAGCAGTACAAAGGACAAAGCAGCACCTTCTGATCCTCCTGCCTCCGCTTCTCATGTTCTGAAGTACAGACATGCACCACCACGGGAGGTTCTGTGCAGTGCTGGGAATAGAACCCAGGGCATCATTTACACTAGGCAAGAACCCTACCAACAGGATTACTTTCCCAGTCAGGCTGTGGCACACCCCTTTAATACCAGTACTTAGGAAGCAGAGGCAGGGGTATCTCTGTGGGTTTGAGGCCAGCCTGGTCTATAGAGTGAGTTCCATGACAGCCAAGACTACAGAGAAGCCCTTTCTCAAAAAAACAAGTCTCAGAAAACGATTATGAAATACAAAGAAAACTCAGAACTAAGCTTCTACACTGAAGTCACTCAACTCCAGCAAGTTTATGTATAACTTCACTAGATTTTTATAAAACTTGAGAGAAAATTGTCAGATATTCATACGTACAAGCACTTATGGATTGGGAATACTCAGTTTGAGACCCATAGGCTTCAAATCCCTGAAAGACACCCAATCATCAAACACTCTAAAATTGTTCTGTAGGCTAGGCTAACAATCTGAATACAGGTAAATGCATGTTTTGGAGGGAGGCTATATTGCCAAGTAGTAGTGACACATGCCTTTAATCTGACACTCAGAAAATGGGGATGGTTATACTGGCATTTGTGTTAAGGGTACAGTCATGGAATCCATGTGCTTAGCTTTAGAAAATTGCCCCAGGATTCCCTAGCAGATTGAGAATGCAGCCAACAGGGTGTTGGCAGCCTCCAGCCACAGGTTTCCTGGCCATAGGAAAGTCACAAGGTTGGAGGCTGACTTAACCATCTTATCCGGGAAACAGGAACCCCTCTGATCTGCCCTTGATGGGATACTGTTGCTGTGCTAGGCACCAGGGTGGGATGGCACCTGACATTGCTGCCATCAGCTGGCAGGTGGCAAGGATTCTGCATGTCTTGTGGCAGACACAGGTGTCCATACACAGTCTATGCTAACATCAGGAGCCTAAGCAGAGTGGGCAGAATGCAAGTGGTGACATGTAGCTAGAGTTTTCCTGCCTGGCTCACAGTCAGGACAAATCTCTCTCATCTGCCAGTCCCACAGCCGCTCAGACCCAAACAAGTAAACACAGAGACTTATATTGGTTACAAACTGTATGGCCATGGCAGGCTTCTTGCTAACTGTTCTTACAGCTTAAATTAATCCATTTCTATAAATCTATACCTTGCTACGTGGCTTGTGGCTTACCGGCATCTTCACATGCTGTTTCTCATCGTGGCGGCTGGCAGTGTCTCTGACTCAGACTTCCACTTCCCAGTTTTATTCTCCTCCTTGTCCCGCCTATACTTTCTGCCTGGTCACTGGCCAATCAGGGTTTTATTTATTGACCAATCAGCAACACACTTGACATACAGACCATCTCACAGCAGTGACACCCTGATCCTTGCTCCCTCATGCATCCCTGGCTTCAGGAGCATGTTCAGACCCACCTGGGCATCCAGGATGGCATTCTGCTCCTGGTCTTTCTGCTGGAGCAGCAGCTGGTGCTGCATCTCCAGCTCCCGTCCTGTAGCCTCTCCTCACAGCACATGACTGCCAAGTCCTTCTCATCCTTCTCCAGCAGAATCATGTTCTCTTCCATCTGTGGGTGCAAGACCAACTCATGTGGGTTGGAGAGATGACAGAAGACACGCTGGTGCTCATGAGGTGCAGCTAAGCTACTCACACAGACAGCAGGGTCAGCAGCATCTGTGACTCCATCATGTCCATGGTCTGCTGCAGATCCTGCAGGGCCCAGCTGTTCAGTTCTCAGTAAGCCATGTTCACCTGACTCTTCCAGGTATGGCAGAACCCCCAACCTCTGTGTACTTTATAGGTTCAAATGGAAATAGTGTCAGAGGGGTTGGGGGTGGAGCCAGGTCTATACTTGCCTGGAAATTGTATGGGTATCCCCTACCCAACTCAGTATATGAACACACTCACCTGAGCAGGTCTCATGGGCAGCACAGTCCTGGCCTCTGTCCTAGAGGAGGACTGGCTGCCTCTGACCTGAAGCCTTAGGTGCTGAGAGTCAGAACTCCCCACTGCCCAATACCTCTGTACTTACCTGTCTCTTCTTGTAAAGGGTTCTCTTTCTCTGAGGGGTGGTAAAGGACTTGAAGTTGGCTTTCTTTGACATTGTCTTGTCTAGCTGGGGAGCCTCCCTGAACATGCTTTTGTCTAAAATAGACCCATTTTATTTATTTAAAGAAGAGTCTTTCACTTGGTTTTTGGAGATGTAGTCTAGGTTGGCCTAAGACTCAATCTTCCTGCCCCAGCTTGGGGCTTCAGGCTTGTGCCACCATAAGTGACCAAGAACATAACAGGTGCCTCTTGACTCATGACTCAGACTGTCACAAGAGGAAGATGTCACCCTCAACCCCAGCACCCAGGCCCTCATGCCCTTTATGACAGAAGCACTGCCTGGGACCTGTTCCTGCTGCTGTCACTCTGCCTGGGACCTGTACTTGCTACCTCCACCCTGCCTGGGACCTGCACCTGCTGATGCCACCTCATCTGAGACCCACACCTGCTGCTGTCCTCCCACCTGGGACCTGCACCTGCTGATGCCACCTCATCTGAGACCCACACCTGCTGCTGTCATCCCACCTGGGACCTGCACCTGCTGATGCCACCTCATCTGAGACCCACACCTGCTGCTGTCATCCCACCTGAGACCCACACCTGCTGTTGTCATCCCACCTGGGACCCACACCTGTTACCACCACCCTGCCTGGGACCCACACCTGCTGCTGTCATCCCTCCTGGGATCCACACCTGTTACCACCACCCAGCCTGGGACCTGTACTTGCTACTGTCACCCAGCCTGGGACCTGCACCTGCTGATGCCACCTCATCTGAGACCCACACCTGCTGCTGTCATCCCACCTGGGACCCACACCTGTTACCACCACCCAGCCTGTGACATGTACTTGGTACAGTCACCCTGCCTGGGACCTGCCACCCCACCAGGCAGGAGGGAACTGGCCCACACTGTCAGTTGAGAACACACTGGGACCCACAATCCTAGGCCTGGTGTGCATGAAAGGCACAGATTCTTCTCACAGCAGTGAGTCAAACTGGCAACAAGGGCTTTCTAAGGCTGTGGGCCATCCTTACAAGCTCAGCTGCTGAGGGGCTAAAAGAAACCACTTACCATTGATGGCTGAAAGGTCTAGGTCAGGTGGAGCTGTGCCGTGCCCATCCAGCATGGTGGACTGCAGGTTTCCTCTTCCCATCATCACCTGACTGTCTTCTGCCCAAAGAATGTCACTGTCAGTGCCATTGGGCCTGCACCTCTTGGTACAGTACTGCTTGGGGCCCCCAGGACTGTTTCTTCTAGGGTGTGTGGGTGCTGGACTCTTGTGCCTGTGAGCCCCGTGGCTGAGATGAGGGGCAGCTCCTCAATTCTCTTGTCCTTGTGCGCAGACTTACAGAAGCACGAGCTCAATAAGCCTCTTTAAGTGTCTTGTTTTTTAGGAAGTTATTTACTGTGGTGAGTGAGACTGTTGTGGGCTGAGCTCCTTCTAGGCTGGTCCTAGGGACTGAACTCAGGGCACCAGGCATGCAGCCAGTGCCTTTACTGGCTGAGCCATCTCACGGGGTGGGAGTTGGGTGGGTGGGGGGAAACTTTTTATTTCTTTAAGATCTATTTTTTTTTGCCAGGTGGTGGCACACACCTTTAATCCTAGCACTTGGGAGCCAGAGGCAGGCAGATCTCTATGACTTCAAGGCCAGCCTGGTCTATGGAGCTAGTTTCAGAACAGCCAGGTGTCATGAAAAACAAGCAAGCAAGCAAACAAACAGAGACTTACCCTTCCATTTTTTCTAAGATTTTATTATTAGATATACAGAGTTCTGCCTGCATGTATCACTACAGGCCAAAAAGGGCACCAGATCTCATTATAGATGGTTGTGAGCTGCCATGTGGGTTCGACAAGTTGAACTCAGGTCCTCTGGAAGAGCAGCCAGTGATCTTAATCTCTGAGCCATCTCTCCAGCCTTCTAAGATCTGCTGAGCCTTCTCTCTAGCCCCAACAAATTCTTTCTCAGAAGAGCAAATTACTGCCAAGCATAATTTAGTGGCCCACACCTTTACTTTTAGAGGACTCAGGAGGCAAAGGCAGTTGGATCTCTATGGGTTACAGGGCAGCCAGGACCACACAGTGAGACCTTGTCTAAAAAACAAACAACAAACCCTGTCAACTCCCCAGGCACAGGCATTCTAAACAGACTAAAGGGACCATGGGTGCCATTAGGCTAAGTGTTTCTTCTTTGTGGTGCTGAAGATGGAGCCCTGCTGAGCAAGTCTTGGGATGATCATAACCCACAAACCACAACTTATAATTCCTAGAGATAAACATAAATCTGTTCAAAGTGGTGACCTATCAGAGAGGTAGAGAGGGGCTCTATTTTACTACCATGCTATGCAGGGAAACAGTTAAGAAATTTCACAGTACCATAGGAGCTACTGACTTCTGGAGCTATGAAGTTAGTAGTTCCTGTGCTCAAGGCCCAACCCAGCACTCAGGAATTCAGAGCTGTCCTCAGATGCAAGGCAACTTCTGGGCCAGTCTGGGCTACATGAGACCCTGTATCAAAACAACAACAAACAAACAAAAAACAAAACAAAAACCAAAAGCCAAAAAACACTGGGATGTGTTGGCTGGCTCAGCCCATAAAGGCGCTTCCTTGCCTGGTAAGCCTGATGATGAACTCAATCTGGGGAATGCACAGGAATCTGGAAGGAGAGAAGAACTCCACAGAGCTGTCCTCTGATGCCACATGTGCCAAGGTGCCAGGAACAACTACCTATGATGACAAAATGAAATAAAATAAAAGTAGTTCCTCAGCTTTGATACTGTTGACCTCTGGGCTAGTCAGGGCCTATCCAGGGTTGCTGTGTGTACCAAGGGCTCAACTAGCAGCTGTAGTTCCATCCATCAATGACAGAAATCCAAATAACATGTCTGCATACATCCCTAACCAGTCATCATCATTGTTAGATGAGCACTCTGTTTAATCCAGACAGGTCCTGGCCCCTGACTGGCCCAGCTTCAATCACAGCCCTCACTCAGTGACATGAGAAAATCCTAGACTCATGCGCTGCTCTCATCCCCACCTGGAGAATTTTTTGTTGCTTTTTTTTTTTTTTTGAGGTAGGGTCTCATGTGGCCCAGACTGGATTAAATCTCCCCAGTGTGGCCAAGGATGACTTTGAACTCCTGATCTTCCTATCTCCAACTCCTAAATGCCCAGATGTCAGGCACCCAGCGGGCTCTAATTTCTGCAGAGCCCCTAAACCAATAGAATGCAGTAGCCAATCCCCACCTGGTCCCTGGTTCTGCAAGTAGTTCCTTGGACATATGGCTGTGCCCTCAGACACACTGCCCCATGCTCCCGTCACAAACACTTGAATCATATCCTTTCTGAAAGAGACCCCTTGATGGTCAGTTTTCATTGCCCACATGACACTATCTAGGATCACCTGGGAAGTGAGGGGTTGTCTGGATCAGGCTGGACTGTGGGCATGTCTGTGAGAGGTTGTCTTGATTGCTCTGGGGGAGGCCTGGCAGCTCCTTCTCTGATGCCAGAATGCCAACCCCAAGCCCCAGCCAGGCCCTGCCTTTGGTCCTTGGCAATGCGCTGGTCCTTCCTTCAGGTGGCTTTCCAGCAGCTGGTACAGAAACCCATTATGGAACAGTCAGAGATCAAGCCACTTGACCTTTGATGTATTTGCTTAGAGGTCAGAGAGAGATGCAAGAGTCTTGAAACTGTGTATACAGGACAAGCAGGATTTGTTTAACAGGGGACAGTCACATTCATCAGACATGGGAAATTAATGGCACATCTGCTGGACTGCCTTCAACACCCAGCCATCTCAATGGGCCTGTGCTCCTGTGTGCTGTGGAGGTGCTGGCAGCTGACTTCCTATGGCATTCTCAAGATGTGCTTGTTTTCTATACATATTGCTTTGGACTTAAGAGGACACCAAATTTCTACACTGGCATAAGTCTTCAGAGCTTACAAACAGCAACAGCACAACAAGCAACAGTGGATGCCAGGCTGCCAGTTATCCCAGGTAAAGCAAGAAGGAGCACGATGGGGGTGATGTTGTGGTTCATGCCCTTCTCATTCACAACTAAATGAAACCCTCCCTAGGAAATAAACAGACAGCAGCGTGTGTACATGTAACGGTCTTATTAAATAAGAAACACAGAGCCAAATGCAGAGTTAAAAGCCCAAGTGGTCAGAGCAGTAGCTAAGAGCTGAGACTGAAACCGTCTTCTTACCCATCGCTGCCCCTGCCATCCTTCCCCTGAGAAAGAGACCTATTTCCTGTGTGTCTGTCTTTTTATTGATTTTCTGTTCTGCCTTTTCATTGGTTGTAAACCCAACCATGTGACCTTCTCGTCACTACCTGTCTGTACAGACCTCCAGGTCTTCTATGGTTGGTATTGAGATTAAAGGCATGTGTCTCCATGCTGGATGTATCCCTGAACACACAGAGATCTGCCTGTCATGTGATTGGGATTAAGGGCGTGTGCTACCACTGCCAGACTTCTGCTATGGCTTGCTATTAGCTCTGACCCCCAGGCAACTTTATTTATTAACATACAAATAAAATCACATTTCAGCACAAATAAAATATCACCATAAGGGTGGAAGAGGAAAACTAAAACCTACTCCTTGCAGAAACTACCCAAGCAACCACAGAGCTCCCTGAGGTCTAGGAAAAGGTCTGTGTGAGGACTAAAGTCATGCCACCATGTTGGATCATGTTTTTCTTTAAAAAAAAAGAAGGAAAAAGAAGATTTACTTTATGTGTACAAGGTATTGCCTGCATGTGTGTATGTACACCATCATACTAACATTAGCTAGATCAGTGTTACATCAAATGCAGAAGACAAAAATAATTAAATCTCAATTATAACAGAGTTAATGGGGGGGCTGAAGAGATGGCTCAGTGGCTAAAAGCACTGGCTGCTCTTGCAGAAGACCCAGGTTCAGTTTCTGATGGCTCATGGCAGCCTGTAACTCCAGTTCCAGGGGCATTGCTGTGAACTTCATAGGCACCAAGCATGCACATGGTGCACAGACACACATCAGGCAAAACACTTGGACACATAAACTAAGTAAATAAAAATATGGGGCTAGCAGATCTATAATTCAGTGATTTCTGTCTCAGTGGCTTTGGTTATCACTTCTCTCTCCTGACAATTCAGCCCTAATGGCTTCTACGATATCACCTAGCTCCATAGGGCATGAACTGGTAGACACAGTAGGCCAAGGTTCCCAAAGCAATCTGCACCTCACTTTTACACCTTCAGCATGGTTGTCCCTAAGTGTGCAGAGTTGGAAGGGTACAGGTCCAAAGCCATAGTCAAATCTATTACTGTCCTCAGTATACAACATAAGGGATTTTTGTTTTTGTTTTTCTGAGACAGGTTTTCTCTGTGTAACAGCCTGGCTGTCCTGGAACTCGATCTGTAGTCCAGGCTGGCTTTGAACTCAGAGATCTGCCTGCCTCTGCCTCCTGAGTGCTTGGGGCTGTAACTCCGTGGTAAGTATCTGCCCAATGCTGAGTTCCTGCATTCCATTCCCAGTGCTGAAGAGAAAACAAAAACAAAACCCCCAAACTCTAGTGCTGTGTACACAGGAGTGTGCCATCATGCCAGCCTTGTGTCTTCTAAGAGTGGCAGACATTGCATTTAGGGCTTGTTCCAATTTCCTACGATATGTGCTCTACTCTCAGTTTCTGTCAAGACCCTCTTCCCAAGTAACCAAGGCTCTCAGTGGGTGTGGATGCCAGCAAGCAGACAACTTCCTGCCTGGCCAATGGTGCCCTCTATGCGGGCTCACATTGAGAGTTCCCGCTAGAAGTTTCAGACTCCTGCTTTGCTCCTAGCCTTGTGGCCCTTCAGCATCCTGGAATGTAGCCCTTCAGCAGTGTCTGGGCTTCTAGACACCCACAGTTCTCCTGGTTTTCCATGTTAGACTTTGGCTGGAGTCCAGTCAACCCATGGTACATTCCTGGGGCCACCTACACTGTTATTTTCTTTATTATTTTCAGTGCTGGGAATGGAAACCAGGGCCTTCTGCAAGGTAGCCAAGTGCAGTAGCACTAAGCCAGGCCTGTAGCCCCCTTCTGGGGGATTCTAGGCAAGGACTCCACTGGCGAACCATACTGGCACCCAGCCACTCACTGTGAGGTTTTAGGCAGGGACTCCACCCATAAGCCACACTACCTCCACGTGGGAGAGGGAGTTCTGTGGTTGATATATTTGTACCTTAATAAACTTATCTGAGGGTCAGAGACAGAACAGCCAACAGATTAGACATAGAGGCCAGAAATGGTGGTACACACACCTCTAATCCTATCACTTGGGAGGCAGAGATCCTTGTGGATCTCTGTGAGTTCAAGGCCACACTGGAAACAGCCAGGCATGGTGACACACACCTTTAATCCCAGCACTTGAGATCTCATGTCTTGCTTGGGAAAGACACACGCCTTTAATCCCAGGAAGTGATGGCAGGAAACAGAAAGGTATAAAAAGTGTGAGGACCAGGAACTAGAGCCTTTTCAGCTTTTAGGCCTTTAGCAGCAGTTCAGCTGAGATCCATTCCGAGGACTCACAAGCTTCAGTCTGAAGATTCGTGGAAACAGGATCTGATCAGGAGTTGTCGAGGAAACAATTACTCTTTGTAAGAAATCACAGTAGAACGAAAATTTACAATATCTACGTTTATTTCCTAGTGTGTTATTAAATGGAAATTTATGTGTCATCATAATACAGTAGAAGCAGCGACGGTCGGATAACCGTTTGTGAGGATGACACGGCACGGTAAGAACTGTACTGCAGGGGCTGTCTACACCTACCATGAGAAGAAGAGGGACTCAGCGGCCTCAGGCTATGGGACCCAGAACATCCGACTGAGCCGGGACGCCGTGAAGGACTTTGACTGCTGCTGTCTCTCACTGCAGCCCTGCCATGATCCTGTGGTCACCCCAGATGGCTACCTGTACGAACGGGAGGCGATCCTGGAGTACATCCTACACCAGAAGAAAGAGATTGCCCGGCAGATGAAGGCCTATGAGAAGCAGCGAGCAGCCCAGAGGGAAGAGCAGAAACAGCTTCAGCAAGCTGCAGCCCAGGACCAAGTTCGAGGCTTCCTGGAGAAGGAGGCAGCCATCGTGAGCCGGCCCCTCAACCCCTTCATGCCCAAAGCTGCCACCTTACCCAACACAGATAGTGAGCAGTCAGGACCCAGGGCGGGTCCCCCAGGAAAGGACAAGAACAAAGCGCTGCCCAGCTTCTGGATTCCCTCACTGATGCCTGAGGCAAAGGCCACCAAGCTGGAAAAACCATCTCGCACTGTGACCTGCCAGATGTCTGGGAAGCCTCTACACATGTCGGACCTGACTCCAGTGCGCTTCACGCAGCTGGGCGACTCTGGAGACCGCGTGGGACTCATCACACGCAGTGAGCGCTACGTGTGTGCTGTGACCCGAGACAGCCTGAGCAATGCCACACCATGTGCAGTGCTGCGGCCCTCTGGGGCTGTGGTCACCCTGGAGTGTGTAGAGAAACTGATCCGGAAGGACATGGTGGACCCGGTGAACGGGGATCCGCTGACAGAATGTGATATCATCGTGCTGCAGCGCGGCGGTACAGGCTTCTCAGGCTCAGGAGTGAAGCTGCAGGTAGAGCTATCTCGGCCAGTGATGCAAGCCTGAGCTGTGACCTAATAAACCTGCCTGTGAATGGGAAAAAAAGAAATACATTTTAATGCCAGGTGGTGGTAGAGCATGCCTCTAATCTCAGCACTTGGTCGGACAGGCAGATCTCTGTGAGTTCAAGGCCAGCCTGGGCTACAGAGCCAGTTCCAAGAAAACTAGAGCTGTTGTTCCACACAAGTTAAAGTTCATCAACACAGTAATGTCGTTAAGAACCAGGAATGGAAGTAGTCATAAGAAGATCCTGGCTTCTTCTGGGCATTTGAGTTGTTCTTCTCCTCAGGAAGGACATCTTACAAAACCTAAGGATTTCATAAGAATCTAATGGATGGATCTTAAGACTCTCCAATATTTTCATTGCCAAAGGGCAAATACTGGAATTATCTGGAAACATAAGCTCCAGAGAACAGCAAGGACCCCACTGGTAAATGATTATCAGGAATAGAAGTGGCCAAGATGAGAAGATTTTAATCTTTCATTTCATTTATCTATCTGTCTATCTATCTATCTATCTATCTGTCTATCTATCTGTCTGTCTGTCTGTCTGTCTGTCTGTATATCTATCTGTCTATCTTGTCCTTTTTTTGTTTTAAGTCTAGCTACCCAGGCTGATCTCAAACTTAAGTATTTCTTTATTCTATGTGTGCTACTGTGCTTGGCACAGAAGATTACATACCCTGAAGCGTGTCTGAAACCTGTTAAATAAATCTCCTCAAAAGTGAGTACTGACATAATTCAATTCACTCTCTCTATATATAACTAAATTTACCACCCCCCACCCCCATGCACCCCATGCTTACCTTGCACTGGTTGATTTTGCATTTCACATCTAAAAACATCTGAAATACGAAATGCTGTGAAATCTGAGACTGTTGATCCCAAGCATTTCATAAAAGGGACATTCAGCTTGCAATTAGCATATAATTAACAATTAACAATGGCGGTCATTTGCTGTTAGAACTCTTAATGCTCTTCACAAGCACAAAGAAGGAAGGTGGCCAACTGTAACAATTCTCATCTCACCATCTGAAATGAAAGCTGGGAGGTTGAGTGAATGCCTGAGAACAAGGCTAGCAAAGCCCTGGCTCTGGACACCCTGCCTTACCTCCCTCCAGGCTCTGAGTTCTGTGCCATCAATCACACTGTGCTGCCTTCATAAGACCCAGTGACCTTGACCTCACCTTGAGTTCAAAGCATTTTTGTATACTTGCTCTAGTTAGCTCCTGGGCCTTAATGGATTCTTTGGAAAGATTCTGGATTTTTGTTTGGCCTCAGTTTCTGACTGTGCACCCTGCAAGTCATCTGACAAAAACATTTGTTTTAGAGGCAAGTGTTAGTACTGCATTATAATCTCTGTAACTAGAGTCTGGTGCTCTTTTTCATGTTTAGACATAGGCAGCTAATAACAGAGCACAACTGAGTTAAATAAATTTAGAAGCATATTTGTTATTTTTTAATCTTAATACAAAGTTAACACAGATTTTGGGTTTATAAAATATAGAAATCAACATAATTTTTATTGACATACAGCTCCAGTAACACTTAAAATTCTGTGAGATAGGCATAACAATATTCTCCATCAATTTTAAATGAGATTTATTATTGCTATTATTATTTCTGTGCACTTGTGTGACATGCATGTGCAGTACATGTATAGAGGTCAGAAACTAATGTAAGGGATTGGTACTCTGCCCCCAAAATGTGGGTCCCAGGGACTGAATTCAGATCATCAGGCTTGGTGGCGAGTGCCTAATTTACCAGCTGAACCATCTTGTCAGCTCTTCTATCAAGTCTGAAATTCAACAATAAGGCAGAAAAACTTTACTTGGAACTTAAATAAAATTGGGGAAAAGAGTTCTTCTTCAAGAAACTGTTTGAGGACTAGCAATGTTCATTGGGAAGAGGCATTTCCAAGCAGACCAGAGAATTTATGTTCAACCCTGGAATCCCACAAGGTATCAGGATGGAACATGTTGTACCTTGAGTCCCCCAAGGGACCAAATTCTGCAAAATCTTTTTATTGCTGCCAGTTAACTTGGGCGTCTCCATCCATCTGATGCAGCAGAGCAGGAGAGACCCTGAGTAGCACTCAAGCAGGTTTTTCTAATGGTTAGGGTAGGAGATCTAGGAGAATTCCAACTCTATATCATTACAAGCTCAAGACTGGTGCTTACGTCAGGTTAGAGATGCTTGGTTTGAACTGATTGGAGAGTTGCAACTGAAAGGAAATTGCCCTATCCTCTAGCAATCTATGTTACTGTATCCATTTGACCAGCAGATCCATTTCCTCTGATAGTTAGGCATCCCATTTTTATCTGCAGGAAACTCATTCCCTATGACAGCTATGGTATACAATCTATAACAGCAGAAAACATCTCAGAGGACATATCTGGTGCTTTGTTTATTATGCCAGTTATGTTACAGCATATCCTTTAGGTTATGGCAGGAAATGCCTGGTGTGCAGCTCCTAACTGTCTAGGGGTGAAGGGGCAGCAGATCATCTGGTGGGTTTTTAAGAACAACTTCCCAAGGGCCCGCTGTCCCCTGTCTGACCCTTCTCTAAGATGGCTGCAGCCCTGGCATCCTCTCAGAAAGACTTCCAAAGAGTTGTCCTCTTAACTCCACACGCACACCTCTCCCTACCCCACACCCACAGACACATGCACTAAATTAAGTAATTGGTGAGGTGATGAATAAAAACGAAAGCGAGGTGATACTGAGTACCTCTCAGCAGGTCCTGCCAAGGTATGCCACTAAGCAACACACAGCACCAGCAACAGTTACTGCAAAGAGGTTCACTGGGGAATGGTGAGTGGAAGTGTGAAGGGCTGTGTGGGAGTGGGGACTTGAGAGAGACAGAATGACAAGAGGAAGAAGAGACGCAAGAGAGAAAAGAAGAGACAAGAGAGGAGAAGCAAAGAGATGTGAAAAAGGCAGAGATGGAAAGGGAATGAGCTGTGCCTTGCGGGCATTTTTTTTTTTTTTTTTTTTTTGACCAATCAGTGATTTATTTATTGACCAATCAGCAACACATTTGACATACAGACCATCCCACAGCAATTCCCTATATTTTTTTTTTTTTTCACGTTTTGAAACAGTGAATTTAATGATTGATGTCATGTATACAGTATCCAGCTTTCCATCAAAACATGACTTCATTGTAGAACATGTGGCCCATGCTCCCATAACTTAGTTTTCAAAGGTTTGTGTTCTAGGCTTTTAGGAGGACACCACATTTTTTTTTTCCCCTTTTCTATTTTAATAAAAAGGAAAAAAAAGAAAAAGGTTATAACTAACAAAAGAAAAACTATATACAAAAGTACAATGACTATATACAATATATACAAGTAATAAATGTCTAAACAATGTCTAGTCCATTTGTATTTGACAAATTCAGAGAAAATAATTTCATTATCTATCCTATTTTGTTAAGTCCAAAATGTATCTAATTCACTTTCTATCCTAATTAATCTTCAACTATAACTAACTAACCTTCAACTATAACTAACTAATCTTCAACTCCCTCAGAGACCCAAGAAGGAAATAATATTAGCTAACAAAAATAAAAACAGAAAGTGCATGCAAGCAACTTCCAAAAAATTTGTGAGTTGACAGAAACAGCCATCTGCCTGGACAGTCACCTGAGGTTTCTCCACAGTGTTGGGGCATCATCTTCACTGCGTCCTGCCTCTGCCTCCCTCATGCTAGGACTAAAGACATGCACCACCACACCTCATGATATGGATTGTTTTTGATGTCTAAATAGGAGCTGATGAAAACATTTTCATATCTTTGTTCCTCAATCATCTTCATTGTTTCTATCTTGCACATGGTCCATATCATGGTAAAGTAACCACAGCTATATACCATAGGACCTTCTGACTACAAAATAGAGGGAGATAATAAAAGTGTTATAAATATGGGGAGTTGTTTTTGTTCTATTAAAATAAATTGCATAATGAGGAGCAAACAATGAATGAGAACTATGAAGTATATCCCATCAAACTCATTTTTTCCCCTGTGGTTCGACTCCATCTCTTTTGCTACAACCATTAAAATAGCTCCACACTACCACTTTAAGAATTTTGACAAGTATATACACGTTCACATTTTTTTATCGTTAATCTGTCTTAGCATTTTTGTTTCATTACTGCTCTAGGATATACCATTTGGGTAGGTTTTAGAATTTTTTTAACGTAGGCAGCATATAAAATCAGCAAACTTGCTGGATTCACTGTGGGCACAGTGAGTGCTTGCAGGGGTTTTCTCGGTGCAGCCTGCCCTGTGTGGATGCTGCTGCACATGGAAGCTATTGCCCAGAAGGAAATGTGTTTGGTTTTCACAAGCCAAAGGTGCACTGAAGAACAGAGGACTGCTGTATCTGCAGAGCCAAGTCTTCCAGCTCTTGGTTCATGGACAGTAAACATTACAAAAAGGATTTTCAGAGCTCTTTTGGGTTGCACATGACATCTGCAGTGTCTGTGTGTTGCTTGTGGAAAGATGGAAGAAGTTGCCAGCTGATCCAGAAAAACAAAGCAAAACAAAAAACAAAAACAAAATAACAACAAAAAAACAACAAAACTGGAATCATGTGGTAGATGCAAGGGCAGGACCCAGTCTAAAGGCAACATTTAAAACAAAAAAAAAGTGAGAACTCTATCTGGAAACAGGATGAAGAGCAATCACATGAGTATACTGTGGAAGGAATTTAAACACCACAATCCTGATGCTCATAGCACCTCAAGTGCCTCTCCAGCCCAGTCTCTGCTTCAGTAACCAGTCAGATCAAGGCTCAGATACAGAGATGGCTTCCAGCTCTAAGAGGACTCCAGTTTTTCCTTTTTAGATATTACCTACTGGAAAAGACAGAAAATACATTGTGGGATCATCTCTAAGGGCAGTTTTGGGAAAGTTCTCATTGACACCCATCTCTTCAAGCCTTGCTGCAGCAGAAAGAAAGCAGCTGCTGTGAAGCCTGAGGAGGAGGGGCTGGCACCTCTGCCCATCTCCACTCAGGAGTAGTGACTGAGGTAAGAAGAAGGGAACAAAGATTGATTTCAACTTTAAAAAGACCACAAAGTAACAAACTGACCCTCCTATTTTTAACTTGGATACCTATTATTCTGCCAAAAGACATTTTATATAACAGTTTTAATGTGTTACCCATTCCCCATACAACAAACTCAGAAGCCAGTGTCTAGCTTACTGCAAGAAAAAAAAGTATACATAATATTTAAGATGCTGAGTATTTCATTGGAAAGCTGAATGGTGTTGCAAAGTACTATTTAAGTGTTTTTGCTTGTTTAATACCTCCAAATGAATGAAATTAGGGGATTTCAGGGGCCAGAGGTGCCATTGTTCTATGATAAACCATATGTAGTTTAGTCTTTCTGTGGAAAGGTTGTGGTTGAGGCATTTAAAAATGTCTGGCTACACTTATTTTTCCTCATGATAATTTGTCATAATTCAGTAGCATGGCCTGCCTCTAGAGACAGCTAAAAATTTTGGAATGCTTCAGCATTACCAAACTTCTGATGATTCAGACCTGTACTACCGACTATTGAGCAGGGGAGACTGAGATTTCTCCAAATAGCTTGGAGGAGGAAGCAATTTCTGAACACACAGGTAGCATCGTGTCACCTCCCTTCATCTTAATATTTGATAAGAAGACTTTATGTGAATCTTCTAAAACAGAACCAGAGCTCCTTCGGGGGAAGGCAAGTCTGTAGGATGGGCAAGGTCCTATACAGATAGTATCAAAACATCACCATACAGTAGAGAACACGTGGTTAGAAACCACTTATTAGAATGTGTAAGTCCTGGGGATGCACGGAGCATAGCTGATGCTGCTTGAGGGACATTTCTTAGAGAACTTGCAGTGTATAAATAATTGACATTGCTGCTACATGACTGTCTGCGACTCACTGAAATCTGTATGATTCAGTTCTATCTCTGGATTTCCTCAGTTGATCTTTGTGGAGGTTTTATCTATAGAGTAGCCCTTTGCCTTGTCTTGACCTTATTAGGATTTAGGCTTTTGTTGCTTTTCTCCCACTATTTAAAGTAGGCTAAAGAGAAGAGTTGTATATTGAGATTGAATTGGTTAGTTGAGTTGGTTTCTTGGAGTTGGGCTTCTGAACATCCAGGTAGCTGAATGGAATGCCTCACATTAAGATCTCAGAGAGGGTTTCTCCGTAGAACACTCCTGAAGCTGTCCAATGGCTCCTTCTCAAAATTCAGGAAAAAACAATACTGCCATGTCAGACATCTAGAGGGAAGGGTACATGCTGACTTAGTATTCTGTCACTCATGATTATTTTGAAAACTGGATTGTTAAAGTCTGTTAGTGTTTCACAAGGAGAGCCACAGTTTTTATGACAACCTTTAGTTTTATAGTTTTACATTGTGTGCTTCTCCCTTTTGTGAAAAATCTATCTAGTACAAGCCACCGTATGCACAGAGTGCCCAATGATTGAGCATCTCTATTTCTGCATTTATATATTTATTATTAGACCTCAACTGCAGTCTTCTCCCACTCAACTCTCTGCCTGTAAACATACTGTATTTAGGCATGCACTTTGTATTAATATACTAACTCTACAAATATGTCTTAAACTTTTTATACACTTGGATAGTTATTATCAAAACCATTACTGTAGGGTATTGAATTATATTTAGTTTTATTATAAAAAATAAACAAACTTGATATTTGATGCCAAAGCAGGATACTGAATTCTGATGTAGCCTGAGAAAAATCTGGAGATAATATTTAAAAGTAAAAGTAGATGAAGTAGCCAGGCGGGAGTGGCGCACGCCTTTAATCCCAGCACTCGGGAGGCAGAGCCAGACAGATCTCTGTGAGTTCAAGGCCAGCCAGGGCTACCAAGTGAGTTCCAGGAAAGGCGCAAAGCTACACCGAGATACCCTGTCTTGAAAAAAAAATAGCTGAAGCTTTTCATCTGCCAAGTAGCATTAAGTTAGTTGGTAATACTTACCTATTTTACTTTAATGTATACTTGTGTGTGAATGTTTTGCTTGCATGTATATCTGAGTACCAGAGGCATGCTTGGTACAGAGGTCAGAAGAAGTCATTGGGTCCTCTGGAATTAGAAATTCAGTTGGATATGAGCCCCCTTATGTGTGCTGGGAACCAAACCCAAATGCTCTTAACTACTGAACTATCTCCACAAGCCCCAAACTCATACTTCTTAAATTTAGCAGATGGAATTGGTATTCTGCGTAACCTATCTGAGACAGCCTTATGGAATTTTATGAAATGTTTTGTGTCATAAACCAACGGGAAACACCATTTCAGAGATTGGAATGAATCCTTCAGGCTTTGTTCACAATATTCCTAATGGAAGCAGATGACAGTGCCAGAGCAGGTCATTACTCTACGTCTCCCCAATGCAACAGTCATGCTAAAGGAGTGAGAGGTCAGAAGGCATCTCCAGTGTTCACACTTGCAGCTCAGCAGTTCCCCTCTGCTGTGGGTAGTGGTAAACTTTGTTCATGCATTTCAAGGCCACTTTCACTGTTTTGCTATCCCAGAACCACAATGGGCAATTGTGAAAGGGCATGTGGAAAGGACTAATGTAGTGCAGAAGGGAGATTCCTTTCTTTCCAGAAGCTCATCATTGTTACATTCTCTAAATTTGGCTGTTAACATAAAGGCTAGGTCATGAAGACTGGCGTAGACTATGCCATCCACATTCAAGGTGTCAACCCCCTATGTAGCCCTGGTTAGATGGGAATTCACTTTGTAGCCAAGGCTCCTGGAACTTGCAGAGATTCATCTCTGCCTCTGAGTTCTGAAGTTACAGGAGTGCAACACCATGCCTGAATAAAGAAGAGTTGTAAAAGTAAAGAGTTGGAAATTGCTTTTTTATTCATAAAAAGTCTTCAGTGGGGACTTTTAAAAGGCAGTCAGTAAATGCAGTGTATATATTTACCAACTATTAAAACACTGACAA